TCGATATTAAACACTATTTACAACATATTCAAAGATCAGCCATAACAAATACTTACATTGTCTGCAAAATTTTGAAAAAATAATGGCACTTTAATTTGGACTTAAGAGGAAATGTCTATAAATGTTATGGGATCCACTAACAATGAGAACCAGTGAAGATAGATCTTGTTGTTTAGCTCAGGAATATAATCACCTAAAAATATGAATATTAATCACAAAAACCTTAAAACCATATTACCATTTTGTATTAACCATATCATCTCACCCCCTTTGAAACTTTGATCCCAATGTGTTTTAATATTAAAAGAATTGTCTTACAGCGATGAATTTATGTTATAATAATAGCTTATAAAATTACACCACAATTTTTTATTAATAATCATCACAATATACTTTTTTTTTCTTTTTTTTTTTGCAAATTATAATTATGATTTTTTCCCCTCAATCAAAGACACAACTTATTTTTCATTTGTTACTCTGTCATCAGCCTGAAGTTTTTAAAAAATATTTGAGAAATGTTTTTTAAAAATTGCAGGCAGGCAATAATTTCATGACAAAAAAAATTGAAGATTCCTTTTAAACATATGCTCTAGTAATTACTTCTCATGTCAACAAAATTAAAAACTGTTCACCATGTAACTTCAGTGAAAGGATATGAGTTATATTCACCACAAAGTGGTGTAATAATCATTTTCAGGCTGTTCTTGCATTTTAATTCCTGCTGCTTTTATATATTGTATTCACCCATCTATTTGTTTATTAAATTTCACCCAAAAATGAAAGTTTTCCTCAAAATAATTTCCAATGAAGAGATAACTTCTTATTCCTTCTTATGCATTATCCCCTCACATAATCTGAACTGTCACTGGTTTTATGCACATTTCTTTGAGTCCACAGTACATAGTATAACAAAACTAGAGGTGCTACAACAGCACATATTTTCTACTTCATTAGAAATAGTTTCATAATATTGTAATTTCTGCTTTACTAACACCTCAGCTGTAACTTGAAATAATTCAATTCAAACCAAGTGCCTGAGGTGCATATTTGCAAATATTTTGATTCATGAACAGTATTCATTTCTTAATTTTTCAAATGAAACAAACACGAATATATTTAACTGTTACAATACATTCAGAACATTAACACAAAAGCAAAAATAATTTCACACAAGCTTGCCTTGATAACACTGAAATGATTTTCTAATTATTGAAAACTATAACCAGCTATCAAAATTTGTTAAAAAAGTGTATTTGTTAGTTTTAAGTAAAATCTATTCTCCTTCATTAGATTATCCACGTCATACAATCAACATGACCGGCAAGAAAAAAGGTAAGAATTACCAACCGTCATTTTGAAAACTAACAGCGCGTCAAAGGGCAAGAAATTCGAATTTACGGTTTCTTTCTTTTTTTTCTATTCTCGAAAATACAGAATATGCCGCAAATGAGACCAGCAACTTTTTCTTCGCTATTCTTTGTTACAAATGAATAAAAAAAATTAAAGAAAAAATGTGGAGTCGGTTTTGAGAAAATAATTATTTAGAATTTAAAAATTGCGTTTCGTGCAAAAAAAATTCATGTTTTCGAAAAATTGAACATGACCTACTTGGAAATATTTTTTGATAAACACATTTCGTTAAGGAGGAAAAATCTTGGTAATTGTAGTTGTTGGAAGACGCCGAAAAAATTTCGAAAATGTGACCTACGCCATTTCTTTATGTGAAATGTTCATGTTAAAGAAGTGAGAGATATTTAAAAAACTGTCATGTGTAATGTTTTTAAACAAAAGAATTCAGCAACGTGAATTTTGTCGTATTAAACAGTGTTATCATCACTACCCGTAAAAACGTTACAAGAAAAAAAAATTGGAAATTGCAAAAATCTTCGGCTTTCTTTGCGAAAGCGAATTTTCACCGCTTTAGGCATAAAATTGTCAAGAGAAATGTAAAATGTAATTTAATGGATTTTAAGGCCCTGTAGAATGTATAAACTATCTACGTAGACTGGGAATCGAACACGCTGCTTCACGAGTTCTAAAACACTGGCATGGCTGTTACAACACATTTTATATTAACGAGACTTGAAAGAAACATTACGTTTACAAAAAATACTGTCAATTCAGTTTCACTGGCAGGAATCATGAGTCTTTCCTCTGTACAACTACTAATTTAGCTTTGAATGGACGTTAAAGTATTTTATAAACTCTCCAGTAAAATAAATTTAATCTTCATATTCAATCTACACAACGAAGTTTCGAAAATAAACGTTAAATAGCACTGTCGGGAAGCAGGGATTTCCAGCGCCATCAATCTCTCGGTCCAAGGCATTTTCGACGCGAAATATTGTTTCCAAGAGTTTACCTATTATACGCAATATTGCGCGAAACTACCGAAAGTTTCAGAAAATGGAGATGACCTTAATGAAAACAAATTATGGACAGCAAATTTAATTTGAAGAAAAAATCTAACTTCAATTTTGTAGTTGCAGGAAGACGCCGACAAAATTCAATCTTTTACAATTTTCGAAAATTGAAAATTAACTGTGAATATTGGTCTTATGGCACATTTATAAGTGTATTTTAATCTATTCTTATAAGAAATTTAAAGAAACTTATTCAGTTTGGAAAAAGCTGTATCCATAGTTTATGCGTTAGTCTTGTTAACCACGGACAGGCGTTTTGAAAGGAAGAAAAAACACTTTTTCGGCATCAGGGAGTCCCAAAACGTATTTCCGTTGTAATCCCGAAATCGAATTTCCGCGGCAATACATACCTTTCTCTGTACTACGTACATTACCCCGTATATATGTATGTATACGAGAAAGTAAAAATAAAAATGGAGTCTTCTTTTTTTTATGTTGAAGCTCCCCATAAGCTTCAAAGTATCCCCCAAAAGTAAAACATCGGCTTCAAAGTAAACGAGCCGCAAATGCAGTCAGGACGATTGGGGAATATCAGTGAACATCGTGCTTACGGTGTAGGCGCTAGCGTTGTTCTGACAGCCGTTTTGTCATTAATCCTGTATCAAATATCCACTAAACATTTAACTTCACACGTGTTAGGGGAAGTAAATTTCTTCCTTGCGAATCGTTGTCGTCCTGACATAATATACAATTTTTCGTTACATATTTAGTAGAACACTAATACGTAATAAAATGTAAGCAATTCATGAAAATTAAGTTAAACCAAGTTAAATAAAAGTCTATTGAAACTTTACGTACTTTCACAATCGTATGCGTTGTGTTCGTGTCAGGCCAATACCTTCCGCGCACGTGGTTTTGGCTTCGATTCCCACTGAGCACTAAAGTTTTTGAATTAGTTCTGCATTGAGATAATTAACGCCAATAGAATCTAATAGAATTCAGAAAAGAACTGTTTCGAAACGGTGATCGCACTCCAGCTCTTTCAATAAGCACTATTGATTGAACGTTTTTCACAAAATTATTTTATTTCGAAAATTTAACTAGCCTGGTATATCTGGTAATAAAGATATTTCACACACACACACAACATCGCTTGAAGAGCGCATGTAACTGCAGCCGAAAATACGCACCCACCGTGAGAGTTATAAAAGGGACTTCATTCCAGACAGCTTAACTTCACACAATGAACCTAATGTACATTTTAAATGTACTTAGTACGTAGTACTTATTTGGCCTCGTTTCACACGCTTGTCACCAAATTCTGTCAGTTTTTTGTCTAATTTCGGTAGGATGTTACATGGTATTTTGTACATGTTTTTCACAGAGTTTGCACACGCATTCACTGTCGGCTTCGTTGAAGCATTCCCTCCTGGACAGCTGGTAGGGGTAGCCATGACATTTCTTGATTGGGTTCCATCAAGCTTTGGAGTATCATGGAATACGATGAATAGAATTCTCCGTCTATTAGGTTTCTTTTGTATCCTCTCCGACATCGCAGCCCTTTATGCCTCTGTCTGGCAGAGAAAAATGTGATCTTGTTCTATTACGGAGATTTCTTTGGTCAGGGCATTTATTAATCTAGGGGTGTATTTTGAGACGTGCTGCTTTTTTTCAGACGGTGGCCTTGATTGCATCCATCGCGTATCATTATTAAATTTACATTTTAAATCAAAAGCCTATCAAAAGAAAATGAATTCTCCAAATATAATAAATAATGCAATGTAGTCAATAATTGACCGAATTTGTGTACTTTCAATAACGCGTGAAATTTATAAAATTAAATTATAGCTAGTGTCAGAAGAATACAACAAATTGGGATTCTCCTCTGACACCACGCGGCGCTCGGCGACCAAACTCACTGCCCATTGGTTTTCTCTTCAAAAGCCCTATAGTTCGATTTAGTAGTGCACGTATCGTAAATCACGTTGCAGTGTCATCCAATCAGGAGCTTATATGTCGCTACAGCCTTACTATGGGGACGTTCAAGCTCCCGGTTGAATGAAACTGAACAGCTGATTTACTTCAAATGTATGGTTAAATAAATCCTAGGATAATGTTGAATCCTACGGCCAGAGAGTAAATGCAGCAACAGAGCCAAGAGCGTGATGCAATACCAGGGAGGGAACCAGTTGGGCGCTCTTTGGTTTCAAATGGGTTACACAGACATCAATTAATCCGCTTTATCTTAAATATTTAATGTCGCCAGTTAGTACAAGGGCTTCTTTGAAGTTTATACTTGAGATTTAATTTTTTTTGACGCTTGAGGGAGTCTTCACAATGGAATTAACATCTCACGGCACGACCAAGAAAGACGCGAAATCTCGTGGCATCGCATCAAGACAGGCCCTCACGCACTAAGAAATTGAAACCCACGTATTTACTGGCTGCTAAATACGGTCCTCGATAGCAATAGAATCTCTACTACAGACCAGACAGTTGTATGTGCAAGTGTGCATCAACATGTTGCCTAAAGGATTTTTAAAACGTTCCGTTATTTTAAAAAAAACCTTAAGGATATCTTTTATAAATGAAATTTCGTATTATGTAAATTTTATAGTGTATTTTAAAATTACACATATCCGACTACATATTTTTACTGTTGACATAACTTATTAATGTAAATAATTTGCCATTTCATGGTACATATTTTTACACTGACAGTGATTTTGCATGCTATAGTTTCCAGTGATAAAGTGAATTATGGAGACATGGTGGTATGAGAAGCAAAGGAGACTGAACACTGAGAAAACCTACTAAGAACTTGCTTAGTTCACAAAAAATTCCACTTGAAATTGGTCAGGATCAAGTCCAGCCCCCATTGGTAGAAGTGAAGGAAGCATGGAAGCTGTGGCATTAGCAATTATGCAACACTAGCACCTTCAATTCTAAGAATGGTGTGTGCCTCTTAAGTCATCAGGTGGGTTTTTAAGAAAGTAAGTAAAATACAAGAGAAAAACATTTATTGGCAAATTCTTGTTACACTGATTTTACGAACAGCACTTCAGAGTAGGTTATATCATGAAAATATATGCAATTAACTTGTCACAACATTACATACATTACTTGCAAAAAGTAATTCCAATGAACGTTTTGAAACTATTCCCTATAATGGATGGATTCTCAAGATTAATAACAGCATCATATTTAATGACTGGGAATTTCAAGTACAGATTCAACTTTTCTTGCTGACAAATTGACAAAACTCTCTATTAACCTCCTTTGCAATGCAACAAAACTATCACAATGAAAGAGATTCATTAACCAGCACAAAAAAAGCAAATGAGCAAAAAAGTTTATGAACACCAGTCACAAAATATGCTTCAGCTTAGCTTTATATCATATTTACATTATACTAATTGAAAGTGTTTAACACATATTCAGGTTTGTGAAGATACAAAAATGCATCACATCAGCATAAGAACATTTAAACTTCTTAAATGCACACATAACAAATGCACATTTCTCTCCACAACCTCACCAGATCCTGCATTAAACAGAAGAACCATTACTGTTTATGTGCATTTTAACTCGGGAACTAAATAGCACTTAATTCATTTTCTTAGTGCCTTTGTAATTTCTTGCAATTTTATTACTGAAAGACCTAATATAAACTGAATGTTCTAAGCCAAGTAGAGAAAGAAAAGAATCAATACAAAATAACTGAATGTTAAAAAAAATAAATGCCTCTTTGGTTGCCTCTTCACACTTCAAAAATAACAAAACATACAAATTGTTCACTTGTCCTATCTAAACAAACATCACAATTATTTCTGCCTAACATGTAATACAAAATAACAGCAATAAGTATTGGTGTATTGCAGTATGCATAGATATGACAATATAAACACTAGGTGGGTACAGAGTAGATATTGAAAATACTAATCCTCAATTATAATAATCATAATATAATTAGTTTACAATAACCCCATGTCCTGATACTACAAACATTTTTATTAAAATAGACCAGCAAGGCAACAGTGTCTGACACAAATACTCCATCTCTTTTGCCACACCAACACTCACTCACGCAACACGCTAAGAGCACTTGTTTCCACGACCTTAGTCTCACTTGCTGTTATAACTACATAACCTTCATTAACAGGCCCTAAGATTGCACTGTACAAAGAATCTCAAGTGAATTTTGGGGATTTACAAACTAGGGATAATTAGATTTAATCGTGATCTCACTTCATGGACCTAACTTTAAAAAATTGAACCACAAAGTAAAAATCTGAATTTTGTTTCGAAGTGTCTTAGATGTAAAAGTTTTGCTTTCTAAAGAAATAGTGCTATGTTAAATTTAAAACCTATTCTTATCATGGTTGGTGCACGATTATGTAAAGCAATGAACAAACAGTGCAATATACTATGTGAACATGGGATTATCTTCAGAATCTAAGAGATTCACAATGGCATTTTAATAAAGTTACTTTGCACACTTTGCGAGATTATTTACACTTCAAAGCACCATTCGTTATATAGCCCACTACCACTTTCCAAGTCTGTTCTGCCATCACAGAAAAAAAATTGTCATCGTAGTTTTTGATATCTACTGTACATTTTTAATAAAATAAGCTTTCATACTAAAATGAAATTTTATCCTTTTATCTAGTTTTTTCAAATTCTTTTTTCAAAGAAAAAATTGTAAAAACTACACAACTGGAAACTACCTACGCAATAGAAAAAAAAAAGAGAAACTCTACAAACACGTGCCAAAGGTTTTTAGATTAAAATAGTTTACTAATAAGAATTTGAATCCTATACACTTCTATGTGAAACAAACACAAAAATAAAATTTAAATTTTACAAGAAGTAATTTCCGAATATTATTCATTAGCTCCTGTCCAAGTTGCAGCACATACATCACGTTTCCTTCAGAAAAACATTTACATTACCTTGATTTCTGATATTGCTAAAGGTTCACATTTATTATGAAACCTATGGCCTGCCTTACGTTTAATTTATACATATTAAACATCTACTTAGATTCTCATCACAGCATATTTGACATTGACTAACCTTCAACTCTAAATTGAGAATATTAGGAATACCGTTCCTCATTGCTAATGAAAGGAGGTAAACGAGAAATTTGATACTTCCCATTTCAGTTCCCCTGAAACATTTTCCATCCCTCTTTTTTCCCCATTTAGATTCCATTAAACATTTCAGACAAATTAATTTGGTAACCTCCTTTCATTACTGGACAGATCAGTAACAGATCAACATATACTACCCCGATTTGCAGAGGCAATCAGCAAAATATGTACAAGTTTTTTTCTTCCAACATCACAAAAATAAAAACAAAAACTTCACAAACAATGAATAATTTATGAAAACTGAATTTTTTTTGTCTTAAGGCATTACTTTTCAACCCATAAGCAGATTGTGCAAAATGTGCTTACCAAACATTTTGATTTCAACACTAACTTACGTTTTATACCATTCAGTTGGTGTTCTCTTCTGATCACTGAAGGTGAATTTACAAGGTGTGGTAATTTCTCTCAGAGCGAGCCTTATAGAACTTCCATGACACAAAGGCAATAGCCATAATTCCCAAAGACAGCACAATACCACCTAAAATAAAACAATTTCTAGTTATTAAAAAAACAAGATTTGAAGCTAATGAAAAGACCACCTGATTTTGCAATGAAACTAAGTTTTTAACAGCTATACACTTCACTACAGTACAGATCATTTTCCAAACCCATTGAGATATTATTGAAGAGTTGTATTGATTTCCAGATTCTAACAAGATTCTGCTTCACCAAGGTGGAATAAAGGAGCCACAACATCAAATTGAAACTACCACTGTTTTAGAATTTGGCAAAGTGTAAACTATACTTAAACTTTTGTAATACTGAATATTGAGCATGATCCGCAATATGATTGACAGCGATAAAATATTAACGAGATCCTATTTTATAGTCCAGCATGAACAGACTTCAATGAAATTCAACAAATCCTTCAATAAATTCTTAACTTCTCTTGAACTTTCATTATTAGCAGAAAAAAAATCTTCACTATCTTTCTGCAATGGAAATTCTGTGATTTTTTTTCAAGAAATAAAGTACAATATGCTGTAGTATGCCTGTGTTTATTATCTAAATAATTTTGTATGAGCAGTGCAGTATTTTAATGGTACATTCTCTTGAACTATATACATACAGCATCTTAGGTTCACTTGTCATTTTTATATACAGTAATCTGATTAATCAAATATCTAAACTATATCAGATCTCAATTAGTTTGGATAATTGGTGTTCCACAGTATGAAGAAATTAAATAAGATTACCAATTAGGACAACTAATTTTTTTCCCGGTGATACTAGTTATTGTTCAGTATGTTACAAACTACAATAATTAAATTATTGGTTTAAAAATACATTACAAAATCAAGAAATTTAAAGAACAATTCTGCAGCTCCATTCCGGAATAAACTTATAAGGACAGCAAAACAAAACAGCCAAGTTTTGTAGTGTAGATATCTAGCAATAAAATGTAGAGTACTGAAATTTAAATAAATAATAAGTTACATTTCGAAGTAAACTCAAAGGAGAAATCTACATTCTCTAGTAAACATTGATGAACTGGTCTTTTCACAAACTAAAATTCTCTTCAGACAGTATACAGTACAGTTACTGAAATATTTTAGTGTAGTTATGCTTTTCCATGAGAAAAAGCCAAGGAAAAAAGTATGGAGAAAAATATTTTCAAAACTGAAACACAATGAAATATCACTTCTAAACTTGTATGTGAACACTTGTTAACAATATCACAAAACATTGTGAATTTAGGTCTGGTTAAAAGTGAGTCCTTCAAAATCCACATCGAATTTCGAAGTTAAAGCTGGTTTAACCTTGAAACTTTCACCCCTATAGTAGTACTACTGCCAGGTGAGCAGTAAACTCGAGCATTCCCAAGTGACTTCAAATACTTTTATCTCGAGTCAAAATTCAATGAAGACTAATGTGACTAAGACGTTTTCTGTTAATTGCAGAGGCTGGAGACTCGCTGGTATTGGCTCTCTTGCAGTGATAGAATAACCTCAAACTCAGCTAGAGTTTAGAGCATCTAAATTTCTTAAAAAATAGTCACAAGATTTGGAGAGTAATATGATAAACTACAATACTGGGAACAATACTGTATTAACATGCAATCGTACTCCAAATGTCCTGTTTCACTAATTCTGCTGTAGATATACAATTTATTTTCTAATCCTCCTAAAACTCAAGCTTTATATTTCCATAATATGAAGTTATTTAATTGTCCCCTTGTTTCCCTATTTCTCCATTTATTACGATGTTTGACTTCCTTGTAACTTGTTTTTTGAACTGCTATCTTCATAGAGTATTATTGACTTTCATTTTGTCAGTTCAAAAATCAATTTGTATGTTATCTTCACAGACATTTATACACTAAATATTAAATCTACAATGAATACTTTGCCATTTTTACCCACTTGAATCTCATTCTTGTACTCTGGTGCATAAATAACTAGATAGAGCAATCTCCACTCTAGAGCTAATGTAAAAAATTATATACACTTTTTAAACCTGGATCTCTATCCTGTTAATGCACAATAACTAAAAATTTGTATTCTCATTTCATGTGATGCAATCATCAAAACTGCAGCACTGTAACACTAACCTGTGAAGTCTTAGAAATACAACTAATGTATAAAAATAATACACACGTGTTTTAACCGATGTATGAGTGTACAATCTTTTACAAAATAAAACCACAGCATAAAGAACTTAGCACACATCCTACCATATTGTTTCACAGTAATGAACACCCATTGACTTTTACCTCTGATATTTAACTCCATAACCTACAATTATATAACAAAAAAGCATAATTAGATTTAATACATAATTTTATTTAATGACCCAAATTAATCAATTAAACTAATACTTTTCCCTCCATATTATTTTGATAAGCCAACCACCATTGACTTATCTTCTAGAAATTACAATCTGGTCCACTGGTGAACAATGACTTCACACAAATCAAAATCATCCAAGTTAAATTTAATTTTATTGTACAAAAGTAATTTTTATGCACCCGTTTCATCTCCCCGTGAATTAAAAGCAGAGCATTTCCTTCAATTTTATACTGAAAATATTACTCAATCTATTTTAACTTCTTATTAAAATTATTCTTCAGTATCATATCACTAAAGAGTGAATTTTTAGACAGTTTGCCAATTCAGAAGGTGATACCATCAAACATTATCTTATTCAGTGCCAAACAAACAGGCCTTAAAAGGATAGTGTAATATTACAATGCTATGATCAATGATCCACAGAATATAGATCAGTACCAACTGCTTCACAGTTCCAACATTATCTCTAAAAATATGCGATTTTTCTAATTGTTAACAATAACGCTACTCACCAATAAAGCTAGGTCCATCAAATCGCCGATCTTTGGACGGCTCAGCTGTAGGATTAGGGACTGGACTCACAGTTGAAACAGGTCCTTTGGTAGTTGATGAAGGTTCAGTACTTGTAGTTACAGGAGGAGAAGTGGTGGATGTTGTGGTTGTGGAAGTATTGGAGGGAGTAGTAGTAGTAGTAGTTTGAGGAGTAGTAGTGGTAGGTATGCTTGTGGTGGTTGTAGGAGGTGGAGTAGTTGTGTCAGGTTTCGTAGTGGGCTTCTGAGTAGTAGTAGTAGTAGTAGCAGCAGTAGAAGTAGTAGTAGTAGTAGTAGAGGTAGTGGTAGTTACTGATGTAGTTGTCTCATGGGCTTTAGAGGTAGCATTTGTAGGTGCTTCTGTAGTAATAGGACCCGGCATTTGTGATGGCCCAGGCCCAACAGGTGTTCCCTTTGACTTCTCTGTAAAAAACGGGCAAAATTTATTACAATCACTATCAACATTTTGGAAACAACTATTCCTAATTCGCGAAAACAAAAATTCCGGAATACAGCTATTCGTCTTACAATATGATTTATGTGGCGCAACTTTGCGCTTGCACAGGATCTTCTTTTCAAGGCAATGTCCTAACAATATTTTGTTGTTTTTTTTTTTGAAAGTTTAAACTCTGACACAAAAACAATATTTTCAATGCAGTAATGCTAAGTAGTAGAATTACCTGCAAATCTGTTCTTGATCATTGAGAGTTCGCAAATTGACAACATGACACCAACAATTAGTAATATCGAATGAAAATCAATACGGGCACTTAAAGAGAGTAATATGCTCAATATGTATAAGATATTACTCACCAACAGGATGGGTATCGTTTCCTGCATAAATGGGTCCAATATGAAGGCCAGCAAGGCAAAATATCGATATAGCCAAAATCTGTTTGGTGAACATCTTGGTGGATTCTAATCCTTCAGCTCGATAATTCACAATGTGACAGTTGTTCACTCGATTTAACTAGAATACCAACTGCACAATCACTCAATTACAAATTCCAGCTCAACTACAGTACAACAGATACACACAACGGATCACAATGAGCTGCGAACACGACCCTGCCCGTTCCTGCCACCCGCTGCCACCTCTACCCCTACCAAGAACGAAGAGAACGATCATCCACCACAGGCTGGCCGGAAACGTCACGAACACGACCAATCCACGACGACCTCGACGCGTACCGGAACCTACTGCGTTCCAAAATTAAAAGACAAAATTCCAATAACATCGCAATTTTTGGAACGGAAAGAGAATTAAGAACACTTATCCTTTTATTTTCTTTATTTGTTATTTAAATATATTATATACGTAAGTTCATTTTTCATATTCCATCACATTAAAATTCTTTGTTCATAATTTCGAGAGTGGAATCAAAAAATTCATCCTGAAATAATTACTTAATAGGGGAAATAGTGCGAAAAGAGATTACTTGCTCTCTCCTTGAAAGCCCATGATAAATTGTATATTTTAACAAAATGTAAGTTCTTAAATCAAATGATAGTCAAGCCTAAAGGATATGTAAAAAGACAAACATAAATATGAAGCAAAACGTTCAATCAGCCATAAAACTCACGCTGTCCAGAAAACCAGCCTTTGGCTGTTGAGAAATTATGCAATTCATTTTTAGTTCTGAAAGTGATCTGCACGTGCTAGAACATAAATTTATTTCCGAAGTTGTGGTGTGCTATATATCTAATGGTTGATGGGTTGTGGTGAAATATCGCGAATGAAAGACGTCCTATGCGATTATACATCCGATTCTCACACATTATCGAATTCTCCATAATTCACAGATCATTGTTATGTACTACAATAATTGATACTCGATCATTTATACATGAACGTTCATATTCACAATATTGAAATAATTAAATGCTTCCTTACAACTGAATTTATAAAACATTAATTTATATTACGAAATAGATTTTTCCATTCCTTTCCACCGCGTGAAACAATAGGTATTAGAAATATTGAAGGCTACAACGGAACTTCCTTATTGTGTTTAGTTGCCCTTTCGTTTTCCTGCACATTCGATTTCAGTCATGTGGTTGTCATAGGCACAGACGTCATTTGCGAGACGAACAGTGGTGCCAACAGGTTGTGATGATAGCCAACATACGAAGAAGCTGTCAAGCACTGTCAAGGTGAAGAAATACCTGGTGAGGTTACCGAAGGGTTGAAGTAGAATTATTCGTCAGTTCCATAGCAGGTGCAATTATTTATTAATAATAGTTGTAAAAGAGGTATCGAAGTGATTATATTTTTCATTATTGTATCATCATGAATGTTGTTGCCGCTGTAAAAATGTATATAACACAAATGACGGAAGAAAGTGGTCCTGGAATGAAGATCCTTTTGATGGATAAAAACACAACCAGCATCGTTAGTATGGTGTACGGACAGAGTGAAATTTTAAGAAAGGAAGTATTCTTGTTCGAAAGGATCGACTCAAATTCCCAGTACGATCCAATGAGGCACATGAAATGCATTGCTTTTCTGCGTCCTACCAAAGAAAATTTGGCCCATCTTGAACGAGAACTTAAAAACCCTCAGTATGGCGCATATTATGTGTATTTCAGTAATATTATTGCCAAAGCTGACATTAAAACATTAGCAGAAGCAGATGATCAGGAAGTGGTGCGAGAAGTGCAAGAATTTTATGGAGATTACTTGGCCATTAGTCCACATTTGTTTTCTTTAAACATACCCATTTGTTCACAAGGCTCAACCTGGGATCTCTCTCATTTACAGAGAAGTGTTCAAGGAATAACATCAGTGTTACTTTCTTTGAAAAAATGCCCTTATATTCGTTATCAAGCATCCTCGGAAATGGCAAAGAGGCTTGCTGAGAAGATTAGGGAAGTTCTTTCAAAAGAAGAGTCATTATTTCAGTTTCGTCGTCCAGAAGTTGCTCCTTTGTTATTACTTTTGGACCGTAGAGATGATCCTGTCACTCCATTATTGAATCAATGGACATATCAAGCAATGGTTCATGAATTACTTACAATTACTAATAATAGAGTTGACCTGTCACATGTGCAAGGTATTTCAAAAGATTTAAAGGAGGTTGTTCTTTCAGCAGAACAAGATGATTTTTATGCTAAAAGTTTGTACATGAATTTTGGAGAAATTGGTCAGACAATAAAAGAATTAATGGAAGATTTCCAGAAACGAGCGAAAAGCCATCAAAAAGTAGAAAGTATTGCTGACATGAAGAATTTTGTGGAGACATACCCACAATTCAAGAAAATGTCTGGTACTGTAGCCAAGCATGTTACTGTAGTTGGTGAGCTTTCTTCTATTGTTAGTGGTCATAATTTACTGGAAGTTTCAGAGTTAGAACAGGAATTAGCATGCCAAAATGAGCATTCACAGCAGTTGCAAAGAATTCGCAAACTGCTAGCCAGTGACAGAGTGAGACATATTGATGCTACACGTCTTGTTTTGTTGTATGCTCTTCGTTATGAGAAGCATGCTAATAATGATATTGTGGGTCTTGTTGATGCTTTAAAAAAGAGGGGAGTCCCAGAAAATTTGACCAAATGCATCAGTCAAATGAAGGAGTATGGTGGAGCACGTGTCAGACAGAGTGATTTGTTTGGCACCCAAGATGCAGTGGTGAAAATTACCAAAAGATTTTTCAAAGACTTGAAAGGTGTTGAAAATGTCTACACGCAGCACAGCCCTCTTCTTAAAGAAACATTAGAAGATCTTATCAAAGGAAAGTTGAAAGAAAATACATTTCCTTATTTAGGTAAGGAGCAAATAAGAGGAAAACCTCAAGACATTATAGTGTTCATTGTGGGGGGTGCTACATACGAAGAATCATTAGTTGTGCATCAATTAAATAAAATGCATCCAGTGCGGGTTGTTTTGGGTGGAACAACAATCCACAATTCCTCCAGTTTCCTTGATGAAGTTAGAGGTGCCACACATGGACTGGGGAGACGTGGACATAACATGTAGTTTAATACTTTCCGTGACGTAAACTATTTAAGCCCAAATTTGTGAACAAAAACTGTGTGCTATGAATTTCATGGAATTACTTTTTTGCTGTAAGCAAAGTTACTTATGATTTTAAGAAAGATACTTGACTAAAAATATTTGTGTTGGTGACATTTATGCAAGTGAACAAAATAGTGTTTAGTGACAACATGTGTCGAAACTTTGGAATTAAACGTGTGTAAGTTTTGATACAGTGACTAGTCAAATCAATGTTATATGCCTGTGTAAGTAAAATGAATATCCCATGTATGTAATGTAATCAAAGAGATGTATTTACTTTTATTGTATTACTTATCACATCATAATCATATTTGAGTACATTAAAACTGTGATATTAATTCCTCAGCTCCTACACTGTATGATACCTCCTTAAAATGTGCCATCTAGGTCTAGGTCTCCAAGTTTCTTATGCTTCATACATAATGTGCTTTTTGAAGATCATTGTAATGGTGTAAAATCTGAAACCTCCATAGCATAAACCAGAAAATTTTCAATTTCTTTTTTGATATCAAGCCTGTTCAGTTTTTAATATGTACGTGAAGTTTGTTTTATTATTCTGATGATCATTATGGATGTTTATACTTACTAAGTTAACGGTATTTATGTAAACATCCCAGAATCCCTTTCATATCTTTATTAGGTTTTAAACATTACTTTCATCTTGCTGTAGAATACCGCTTAAAAACAGTGGCAGGCTGCCTTCAGATTTCAAGAAGCAAATGTCAAACTTACGGGGTACAAATTGAGCCCAATTGGATAAATTATTATGAACCTCCAAAGGTTTCGTAAGGCTTTCCTGATTTCTCTTGGAAAAACAATGACTAAAGATGTTGCCAATTCCATTGTGTAGTAATTGTAAATTATTATTTTTTAAACATTTGGGTAAACAACGTCAGAACAGTGTCCTGTCAGTGGCATGAAATCAAAAACTGATGTCTTCCTTTCACAAAATTTTAGATTCCATTAAGAATTTTGACCTGAAAAGTAAAATGGGTATTAGGTATTTTGCCTTCCACGTAAACAACACTACACAGTTCAATTTTCAATTTGTGCTGCTAATGAATTTTGCCACATCTCTATATTAATATAAACAATAATTTTGGAAAAATTCTATTTAACTTTGACATTATCAGATATAGTGGACCTCTGATATAGTGAACCAAGCATGTTAGTCCCCAGAAGTTCACTATAATTGGATTCACACAACACTGCCCACATCAATTCATTGATGTCAGCAGGTTGTTTTCCATCCAAGGCAATGGCAGAAAGTCAACCAAGAATACAAACACTGGGTTGAGCATTGCAAGATACTTATTCTCGAATGAGCCAGAGGGGTGCAATCAGTTCATTTCCACTGTAGCAGTAACTGCAAGTAATATCCTTGTTTGTGATAAGTGTGTGATTGCCCGTGAGGTTTTTTCTTGTGAAGGAGAGTGACAAAAATTAATTGAAGATGGCAGGTACAAAGAAGAAACACTATGATTCATATTTGAATCTAGAAAATCATGTCCGAAAAGAATGTAAATATTGAAGACTTATAACACAGAGTATCCTTCAAAAGCTGGGCATGCAATATATACAAATTATGCCCAATTTAAAGTTTTCAAACAGATGCAGATGAAAATTTCAAAATTGTTTATAAATTAAAGTAAAACTTATAAAGTAACTGTTGAAACATTTTGCAGCAAACCTAGTACAAGTCAACAGAGTAGAAATCAGAAGACAGTAATTCGAATTGAACATTGAAATGAAAGATGGTGATCTATCTCCAAGTGAAGCAGAAGTTTGCCAGCCAAGAGTGTAAAATTATCATGTCTAAATGAAAGTTTAACAATGTTAGGTGAAACCCTTATGAGAATGAAAAAACTGAATCAAAAGTCCTCATCCTCCAACAAATTCTCGTCGAAAAGTGGAGAAAATAAGATGAACTTTAGAGACAGAAATATTTTATTTAGAAGAGGTAGAAGAAGAAAAACAAGACAATTAATGAAGACAAAACATGAAATGAAAACTAGAAATTAACATCTTAGAAAAATTGGGGGAAAAAAAATATACGAAACTACTGATGAAAAGGATACAAAAATTACAGTTTTAACAATTTTCGAAGATTCGTCTTTTCTAAAATTAAAAAAAATTTCGATGCATCAATCCACATGATAATTGTTGAAAACAACTAGAAGTAACAAATGGAATATAGTTACCTCCAGTGAAATACAGAAGAGCTATTGATGATTCTGAACATTAATGTGTTATGGATTTTTATTGTTCAGATGATGCTAGGCATATCATGAGTGGAAAATAGAAGTGAGAGAGAATGTGGGAAAGGTTCATAAACAAAAGAGCCTTATACTGAGCAACCTAAAAGAAACCTACCGACATTCTAAAAAAGTGTTTCCATATCAAAAGGTCAGCTTTTCAAAGTTTTCTGAAATAAAACTGAAACATTGCATTTTACCAGGAGCTAATGGTACACATACAGTGTGTATTTGTGCATACTATGAAAACATAAAATTAATATTCGACAGAGGAGATGTCGCAAAGTTAACAGAAAATTATATTAATGCTTTGAAGGATTATCGGGACTGCCTAACAAAATGTATTTGTGATTGTCTAAGAGCTGAGTGTTAATTTAAAAAGCATGATAAATGTCCTGGAACAGAACTACTTACAATAAAATGTTAAAGGGCAAGTTTAAAGAGAAAATGATTGACAGTGTGACGTAATGGCAATGGATTCACGTTGACCGAAGTTGTTTGGAAATTTTAGTGTCATCTATGGAGGAATTCTTAGAAAAATATTCAACTAAAATAGAAGCTTTAATAACTCACGCATTTCTAGCACAGCAACAAGCCTCTTTCCCAATGTGGTGCAAAAATAATTTAACAGATGGAGAAATTATTATTTTATGTGATTTTGCAGAAAATTATTCCTTCATAATTCAAGATTCCACAAGGTGTGTACTGGAATAATGGCTGGTATTACACTGTGAAATCTTTAATGCAGAACTTTGTGGAAGTTCTTTATACTTCGATGATGGAAACTTTGACGAACATATTACATTTCGTCCAATATTTTATGTAGTTTTGCTCGTGATTCAAGATGAAAGACGCACAAATAGCTGTTTGTGCTACTTTATGCTTAATAATAACTAAGTATGTTTAATCAACACCACCTAGATATTGTTGGTGTAATGCTAAAGAAGTAAAAGGTAAAGAGAAGACTTTTGAGAGGCAAGGATCACACATTGTGAAGCATAAATTAAAGAACTTAGAAATGAAGAATTATTTGAGGATGGATGAGGAAACATTCAATTTTCTTCTGTGTTCTTCTTCCTTCTTTCAAAATTGGGTCCTCTGATTTTGAAGTTTAAAAAAATTAACTTCATGAAGTGGGTATTTTCCACTTCCATGGAAAATATGTCATACGTCTCAATTCTTTGGTTTTATTTTTATAGTCCGGATGAACAGTATTATATAAACATTCTAATTGCTCATACTCTGCTATTAAAACTTTCGCTGAATCAATACCCTGTGTATTCCTATCGGATACCATGTTACCAAATGTATGATAAAATTTGGAAGTTTGAAATCTTTTATAAAATATTAGCTATTACACTGTCATTTCTTCTTTTATAAAAGATCTTTGATGAAGATCTTTTACAGTATAATACCAGCCAATCATCAAGCAACTATATACCCTTTTATATATTACAGAGAAAATGGTATTGTGATGCATAAAAATTTGGTTGTAATTTCAGTGCCTCAAACACGACACAGATGCAGTACATGTTGTTCAATGAAGTGATATTTTTTTTTTAAAGACTGAGATCAAGAACATAGAAAAAATACTGTATTTCTCTGATGGTGCTAGTGCTCAGTATAAATATATACTCAATAAACTTCTTGAACATCTGTCTACATAAGAAAGATTTCAGAATAATTGCAGAGTGACATTTCTGTGCAACATCACATGGTAAAGGCCCTTGTGATGGCATAGGTGGAGCTTTAAAGAGATTAGCATCAAGAGCTAGTCTTAAAGTACATCAAGATCTGATTACAACTCCTAAGAAGCTCTAGGAGTGGGCACAAAAAAAAGACACACAAAACAAAGTGTTTTTCTTCTTCACGATTGAAGATCATGAGGAAGAAAGAATTTACATGGAAGTCGTAGAAATGCTGCAAAATGGCTACATGGTATACATTCATTACATTCCTCTGTTTCTGTATGTGAAGATAAAGCAATAATTAATATGTATTCCTTAAAAGAAAGTGGAGATCTTATGTGAATGTTAAGTGTCTCATCTGTCCTATGTATTTAGCCTTCAATAGCGCTCATTCAGATAGTGCAGATATTTGTCTTAAGAAAAAAGTAGTGGGCATAAATTATTGTTGATATGACAAAGTACAACCATGACCCCTCAACTGAATATCCAGATACATTCCTGCCTCAATTTCCTCCATTTTCGCACCTTGTCTCTCCCTTTATCCCCCATCATTTCTTCTTACTCTTCATTATGAACTTTTGTTTTATCAGTGTTATATTTTTGGGTCCAAGGTTTGGAATAAATTAAGTAGACTTTTGATTGAAAAACATGGTTAGTTCATACATTTAATGAGAAAATATAACAACCCTAAGTTTCTCCTTGGCTCCTAAACTAACATCTCTTTACTACTGCAAACACCTGATATAAATTTAGAGAAAAAGTCAAGAATTCTGAGAAGAAAAATTACTTATTAATAAAATAATATTAATTCAGAAAGGAAATTGCTCAAACACTATTTACTTTTAGCAACAAGATGTTCCACATAACAGTACTTTTTTCCACAGTATGTCACACACATTTTTAATAACTTTTTATGCTAACAAACAAACAGAGTCTGGTTACCATTTGAATTACCTGTCCTGCTTGAACAAATGAATAGGAAAACAATAAATTTAAAAAAATATTTATTGTACTATCTTTTTATTGCATGAAGCGCATAGCTAATACTGGTATTTTGAGTCCAACGCCATTTGTTGGTAAAGATGTTGTAAAACAATCCACTGACTAAAACTGTTTTGCAGCCACCTGTAACACAGTTAAATTGATACCACATTACACATATTGAAAAAGCACGCATAGAGGAATAAAACTATTTCTATAAAATGTACAAGTACTCACAAGAGTGAGTACAATTACAAAATATTACATTTTTATAACATTACAACTGCTGCTTGCAGTATAATTGCTTCTGTGATTCTACAATAAAATATTTTAAGTGAGCAAATGCATTCACATGCATCTTCTGAAAGATTTACAACTTTGAAAGAAAAATTAAAGGGATTTATTAACATACTTATTTCTTCAAGAATTTTGCGGAGAAATAATAATAGTTTATGGTACAAAAGAGTAGTTGTTTTTAAAAGAGTCTAAAGAGTTCAAGGTAGTTGATTACTCTCTAAAGCAGTAATATGAATGTTTATACTTATCTTTAACCACATAATGGTCTTTTAGTAAAATGTAGCCTACATTTTATATTATCTGACTATCCCTTTCACATTTTGACACATATTCCAACCATGTGCCAATATAATTAATACCATTATATTGACTGCAACAATACCCTTCTTTCATCGAATACTATAATGGACCCTTTTATCTACTGTAGGAAGCTTTATGAAATTGTCCATTTAATCTACTTTGAGGACATAAGTAAACAATATATAAAGGCAAATGGATCGGAAGAAATAATTTGTTTCACAAGATAAGTACTTTCTGTGCTCATGCAGTCAAGAACAAATAAAATCTGTCTTCCAGAGAATCAAAACTGATTTTTCTGTAGGTTTTATGCCTTCAACAACTGAATATCCAAGCTACACAGATCTAAGTAACTGGAGTAGCAAATGACCCTGAAAGTTTGATTGTCTGGATTTACTCCACCGGAATTAATGATTATGTAGTTCTGTTTTATGACATAGACCATACTGCTTCTAAAAACTGGTGGTACAGCACATGCTTTCTTGTATTATTGGTACCAGTGACCTAATATTATAATACATCCTATTCTATCCTGCCTATCACTAGAAAAACTCAAACATTATAACTCAAAATAGCACAAAAACTATTAGTATTTAGAAAAAAAGTGTAAATGGAATGACTGAAACATTTAATAATGAAAAGTAGATTGGTTTAAGAAAGAATTCCCTAGCTTCAATATCATATATTATAAAGTAATTTTAAATGAACATAATAAAGTAGAAAATATTTGTACTATGGCATTGTTATAACAAGGGTTCGGATTCTGATAACGCATCATCTTTCCTTTGAAGCTTTCTAGATGTAGCTAGCTTATAAATGAATTATTATTGGATTACTTTTTCGTATCTTTGTCAATTGTCTCTTTTTTTCTTTCTTTCTTTCTTTCTTTCTTTCTTTCTTTCTTTCTTTTCTTTATTAGGGTCATCATGATGGACATATTGATACAATTTAATTTTATATACATTTTAAGATCCTGCTCATTTGTAACCATTCATGCATGCTTCCTAGAGAGAGAACTAACAAAATTGCCGAAAATGTAACAAGTTAAACTAGTGATGCTGAACTTCCCCACCTTTAGTAATGGTTATGTAATACTATTTTTACCACAATTTCTGTCCGAATTAACACATTTCAGTCATCATTTTTTGTAAAACTCATTATAAATCGTAGAACATTTGGTGCAAAACCTACTGATATTTTCAAAAAAATATCAACACAAATTTGATAATTATAACCGCTTTTTATACAGTTAAAATCATGTTCCAACAATGAGCTGTAATTCACAGAAATTCAGCTGCCGAATCATGGCAAAAAATGCCATTGTTGTATTCCAATCTGATATTCCCTGAAGATTAGCAATTTTTCTTTCATATATTTCAAAAAGGTTTTAAATAATTTCAAGAAGATTATTTTATAAATGTATAACAAAAGCGTGACTGTAACAAAAGCTTGAATGTAACAAACAAAGAAAAATGAAATAATATACAAATTGTAACTTAAATAGCATCCAACTGCATGGAATCACCTCTTATATTACGTTCACTAAGTGCAGGAAGTTTGGAGTGGAAGAATAAGTTTGATGCCAAAAAAAAAAAAAANNNNTCATATTTCAATGACCTTATTTGAAAAAAAAAAAAAACACACACACACACACGCACACGCGCACGCGCACGCGCACAGACACACACACAGACACACACACACAGACACACACACACAGACACACAGACAGACAGACACAGACACACACACAGACAGACACACACAGACACACACAGACACACACACATACACACACACAGACAGTCTCTCTCTCTCTCTCTCTCTCTCTCTCTCTCTCTCATTTTTTAAAATTCTCAAATTTTAAAATTTTTGAAAAATCAGGCATTTCAACAAACATAAGACCTGCACCATTTTCTTAAGTGTCCTTCATGCTATCTAAGGTGTAAATGTAATCAAAAAATTTTGAGTTATTTTTAAGACAAAATTGCTTAAAGACAATAAAAATTGCCTACATTGGACACAAAATTTCGGAAATATAATCATATTTCTGAAAAATTAATTATCAGATTATTTGAAGATGATTTTGATGAACACATTTCATTAAGAAATAACATTTATCTTCAGAATTGAAATTGTAGGGGGAAAAAAAATTTTAAAAATTGTAATGTTCAGAAAGTTATAATATTTGACAAACATGAGACATGCCCCAATCTCTTAAGCATCCTATGCAATATCAGAGGTCAAAATTAATAAAAAATGATGACCGCCCCTCTATTTTTTTTTTATAAATTGTCCAGGGGTTACATGTAAAGTATCTTCCAAAATTAAAATATTGGTTTCAAATTCAAGGGGCTGTGAGATCAGCCTGATTGATTAAGGAATATCAATTTTGGAGAAAATCGACTGAACATAGCCATTAACGTTGTTCACAGATGGACGAATGGACTCTGCTCACAGATGTACGGGCAGACTTTTAGCCATCAATCTCACAAAACATGGATTCTTGCTATGCCACATGTTGGAGGATTTTCTTTTCTAACTTTAGCATCTGGATTTATCCACTGTTTCATTGCCCGGGATTTGTAATAAGAGGTTTTCTGGTGAAAATTCGCCGTTTCTTTGCACAGTATTACATACTTTTTTCTATCACCTAAGTGGTAGCGAGAAAGTAAAAGGGTATCTTTTGTAGAACGTTGCTTAAAAAACATAATCTGAGCTCTATTTACCCTTTGTACGTTTCCCCACATAATCCCTCAATGATCTCCGTGAGTTGTCTTGGTACATATCATTGCTTGTTCCCCTGTATTTTTCCTGCCTATAGGCCCACATATATCTCTGCATGTTCCCTACAGGATCCCTACATGTTTCCTCACATGTTTACCATATATTCCATTGCAAATTCTCCTGTAGGTTCTCCAAAGGTTTCCCCAGTGGTCTGCAACAAGTGCCTAGGCTTACTAATTTGGAAATTTAAACTACAAATCCAAAAACTTAATTTCAATGTTTTTACTTTCTTGTATAAGTATGTTTTACAGATGCTCAGGAAATCAATTTCAAGATTTCAACAAAAACACATGTTTTGGGGTTTTTTGACACTACAAAAGTGTTTTGCTCAAATGTCTGTCCATCTAACTGTGGCCAACAAAATAGACTATCTCATTGGCCAATATCTAACTGCCTGTCTGTGAGCCACACTAGTGCCTAAACTATTTGTAGAAATTTTTCAAACACTAATATTACCAGATCAACTTGGCCCACCTCAAAGCCCTTTGATTCTTGAAAGAATATTAAAGAATTCTTTGAAACCTTTGAGGGTCCTTTACACAAAGCTCCTGAGACATTTTAATAGATTTCTAAAAAATGGCAAAAATTTTGTCTTTAAATTTGTTGTAAGAATTAGAGGGAAATACACTGACAAAAATGGCAAGGGGCCGATTGAAACAGTTAACTACGAATTTTCAAAAATTACAAAAATTTTAATTTTAATTTTAATGTGTTTTAATCTCTTTGCACAATATTGAACAATAGTTGGTTTTTTTTTCAAATAAAATTTGTTCCCCACAATTAGTTCAAGTAGATTTTTTGAAAATAGTAGTCTATTTCCATAATTTTGAGTAAACAATGGACAATTTTTAAAACAAGATTTTCTCAAAAATTGCTCAGAATTTGTTCTTAAATTTTTTGAATAGATAAAGTTAAAGCACTAAATAACATGATATAACTGCCATTTTGAAATGATATAAAAATCTCATTTTGTTGACTATGTCACAGAAAATATGAATGAGTGAAAACCAGAATGGTAAAAGTGACATTTTACAAATTCTGAGAAAAACCTGTTCCTTTTAGGCTACATTTCGGTGGCAATGTATTTTTGTGGTTTTAAGGAACAACTGATATGCTGTGGTTTTAATGATGAAACAGATCACCATGACTTTACAGTGATATTGACTTAAATAAACAGATTTCTCATAATTTATAAAATGTCTTTTATACTGTCCTGGGTTTCACTCATTCATATAAGTTGTGACCATCTTAGAGACACAAAAGTATGGCTCTAAGTCCCTAGAATGCATAATTTCAGATTGATGCAGAGTGGTGAAGCGTGTTGCAGATTGCAGTGATTCTTTTTTTTACATAATTGCCACAATCTGTGAACTTCTACGATTTATTCGCAAATCTATTTGATGCATGACTGGGGTTAATTCCCTAAACAGCAGTAGTACACTTAAAGGGTTTTGTATCGATGGTTTATTTTAATTTGCACAAAACTGTCCTCTTTGCTGCTCCATCTGTTATGATCAATGATGTCGAAAGAAAAACATATTCCAATACTCCAAAAAATATTCCCTTCATTTCAAACCATTAATGAAGCATTGAACCATTTTTAAGAAAACAAGAAATGCCACTTCCATTGATTTTGATTTTCTAAACCCATGTCGAGAGTTTGAAAACGCTTTGATTTTCCTGAGAAAAGTTTTTATTTGCGAAGTTTCCATTTGCTTCTCTAATATTTTTGAGAAAACTGACAAAATAGAAATTGGCTGATAATTCTGAATGTCATTTGTGTTGCCTTTTATAAAAAGTGGCTGAATTTTTGCATTTTGCAAATATCTGGAAATATTACTGTGCATTGCAAATTTGCAAATTTGAGTTAACAGATGTTTCAAGGTAAGTGCACAAGCTTTTAATAAATAGTCCAAAAATGATTCTAAACCAGCTGAATATTTATTATTTTTATTCACTGACTCTTCAACGGATGTTTCGGAAACAAACATTGTGTTCAGCATTTTTTTGGAAATGTATGATGCAATTTTGTGGTTTTAGTTCCTTCAATGAGATCAACCGCAACTTTCTAAAAGTATTGGTAGAAGAGTCTCACAACTTTAACCAGACTGCTTAGTTCTGTGTCATTATAATTTAAAACAACATTATCTACAAAGTATCGAGAGTGGTTACATATTTATGATGTTTCATGTTGCTTGCCATTAGGGTTCAAAGTCTCCAGATCACTTTTCATTATTATTCCTGAGATATTACTATCCTTAAAATACTTTTGTATTTTTGAAAGTAGACATGGAAACCAGGAGATATATTATGATGTTTAGCAGGGGCAGAACCAGGGACAAATTTTCGGACGGGAAATTCAAAATGTTTTGGTCGAATGTGTCATATTACATATTTTGTAAAATGTTCTACACTCACCTAATGCTGCAATACATTTAATTGGTATTACCTGAAAATATTTTTGCTTCAAAGTTTTATGACTAGTTAAAATTAATAGTTACTGCAAAACTTCAGGGGGGAAATTTCCCTCACTTCCCTCTCCATGGATCCGTGCCTGATGTTTAGAAATAAAGTAAAGAGTACTTCTGCTTCTACACTACGTTCTAATTCCTTGTGTTATCCCAAGTATTGCTTCTCCCTGAAATGTTCAATTTTTCTCTTTCTAAGAGGAAAGTACATCTTAAAGCGAAATGAAATGTTTGTTAAAAGTTAATAATACTTTTTGCTTGTGTCAATGAATATTATATGTTTTAATGAATTATAATTAATTTTGAATTATAATGAATTATATGTATTAATCAATAAACCATGTGTTGTTTGTGATTTCACAGACATGTAAAATAACAGCAAACAATAGATAACCCAGGCTTCAGCTGGCAGCAATACTTGTCAGCTCAAAGAATAAATGTAAGCTTCTACTTAAAACTTCATATGATGATAAAGAGTGGACTAAGTTTTTTGTGATGGTTAGGTGATTCATAGAGCACAGTCTTCCTTCCAAAGGAAATATTTCATACCTTCCATTAATCAACAAATTAAGTGGTGAAAGAAAGAACTTACTGTCCATAGTCCATTTCTTAATAAGAAATACATATGTCATATGACATATGTCATATTCTGTCAGTTATTGTAAACATGGACCTATTTTGCAATAAATATATTAAAAATAATTTACATTCCATAATGTTTTACATTCAGAACCGTATCCTCCCATGCTGTTCAGAAAAAAAGGAAGATCACACTGTTCAAATTCAATGTTTTCTTGAAAGTAAATAAATGCACTAATATTTTCCTCAAAATGTCAATTTTCAAATGCTTAGGTATTGTAAAGTTATAACAATTCTGAAACATTGTATAAGCGAGATGATATCAAAGATGTATAAACTCAAAATTTCTGTTGCATCGAGTACAATTATTTGTCACTTGTCCCATGCAATTGTTATTGTTGTAAAATCTTGTTAGAAAATAATGATGAAAACATTTGGAACCATTCAATTTTTACATTTCCCCCCCCCCCTGCAATTTACCTCAAAGCTAATTTCAAGACACATTCTTTATGTACTTGAAAGAAAATGGAAAAAGTTTCTATCTATTTTGCATTTTGAAACATACACCCTCCCTCACAAAGAAATTTTTTCTCAAATTCCAAAATATAGATAACGAGGAAGACCAATTCATCAAATAGCCTCCACGAAGTGCTAGGTATGTACTGTATTATTCTCCTTTACATTCTTTAATGGCATAATCAAAAACACTTCTATCATTTTCATTCTTCAAAACTCATGTAATTGCTAACACTGAGTTGAGACGTATTGTATCATATTTGGAAAGGTTCACTCTCAAAAAGGGTTGAAAGTTGGATTCAAACATGTAGAGTTCCTTAAGGCTGAAGGAAGATTATCGGTGTCAACGAAGAAAAAAATTACACAATTTTGAGTGGTATTTCTGTCTTTCTTCAAGCAGTTTTTAACACTTCTTTACCCTGGAGCCTGAGTTCAACTCTTCCTGCTTGATATCATGCCTTTGCCTGCAGAGAAGACAAAACATGACTGGGCTAGTAGGTAAGTTTCCATGTGGCAAGATAGTTCCCAAGGGAAAAAGGAAAATAATGATAAAATTAGTTGCGCTAAAACAGCAAGTTCTTTCTCGCTCGTATTTTCACGCAAAATTATGTGAAAAGTACTGAAATTTTCAAACAATTGTACATGACCTTAATTCAAAATCTATCTTTAAGGAATAGATTTTATTAAGGGAAAATTTCTATCTTCATAATTGTAGTTGTAGGAAGATACCAAAACAATTTTGAATTTTTGCAATTTTCGAAAAATCAGAGTTTTTAACGAAATGTAACGAACGCGCACCATTCGCATAAATGTTCTTCACACTATCAACAAAAATTAATCAAAAACGTTGGAGCCATCTTTTTGAAAATTTGGAAAATGTCCCAGGGGCTTCATGTAAAGTAACCCTTAAATAACCAGTTTCAAATTCAAGGGGTCAAGACATCAGCCAGATCAATTGGGGTATATAAAGTTTGGAGAAAATTGGCTGATTCAGTTTAGCCCCTAAACAGACGGGCAGACATTTTGCATACAATCGAAGTTTCCGTATCAAATACCCACAATCGAGAATATATCAGAATTTAAAAGATATTCTGCTGAAAATTCTCCGCTTTTTCCCTGCAGAATTACAAAACTTTTTCTTCTTAAGAATTATCTTCATGTGAGCAAGTAAAGAGGACAAAAAGATAAAACTAAAGAACATACTTGAAATAAGCTTTGAAAGCAATAATAGGCAATATGGTAATTTACTGTAACACTTTCAAAAGCACAGTTATGATATCCCTATTATTAAATGTCTTAAAATTTTAACTATCAAGAAGGAATTTGGAACTTCTAAAGTCAACTAAGAAACTATGATATTTGATGAAATTTAATTCGACATTAAAATTTTCAAAATTATGTTTTAAATACAGATGACAATTTATTCTTACTGGATTCCAATATTGATTCCAATTCTTGTGGTGTGATGAATTTCTCCCAATCATGAGTGTTTTGGGGAAGGATTTTCCAAATGATTTCCGCCAGAACAATTCCAGCCAAGTGCGATGCATATGTCTTGTTTAACGTCGTAACAAAAAGAGATCCACCAGGCTGTAGAAAGGAAGACAATTTTAAAGGAATATGCCAAAAACTTTATCTCTTATTTTGACTGAACTATTTCAAAGTTCTTATTTTCTTCTAATTAATACCTGGAAACCTTTTGGTACATAGCAACATATTGCAATATATTAAAATTGCTCAAAATATTGAATTACATTGGGTTCAATTTTGAAGATCAGACTTCATTTAGAAAAAAATCTACATTTTTAATTAAGTAGTAGTAAGAGGGGGTGCAAAAAATGTATATGTATGAGAGCGTAAATATTTAAAGTTCAAAGTAAACAAATACTACAGTTTTACAAATCGTCTATGCATTTTGTTCACAATAATAATTGGCCTTTAGGTTGTGCAAACCAATATAATCTAAAATACTATAATAACAATAAAGAAACAGAGCAGAAATGTATGTATATTGAGAGAATGAAATATCCTCACTTTTCACCGAAAAAATACTGCCAGCGATTCAGCAATATTGCCTTTTAAAATGCACAATAAGGCCTAGTAAACCAAATTATAACCAAGCTAATATCAACAATGCAGAATATTATTCTTTACTAAAATTCCAGAACTAGAGAAGCTACATCACATACTTTCTCACATCATTTGTAACTTTTGCAATTTTTGGAAATTCAAAGTTCAAAGGCTATGAGGTAAATGGTTTTTTTAAAGTGTTGTTTGCTCTATCTGAAAAACAAAATTGGAGCTTTTTTTGAGAATTTTATTCTGTTCTTAAATTGTATAGGAGCTTGTCTAAAGATTGATTTTTAGAACAGATTTCATAAAGGAACAAAATCTCTATAATCAATATTGAAGTTATACAATTTTAACTAGTAATTTTTACTCCACAATTCCCTGAAGTTCTCTAAAAATGGGACCTACAACATTTTGATACTTACATAGCTCTAATCAAGAAAAACATTAACCAAAAAGTTTGGAGTCATTTTTAAGAAAATCTTGTTTTTAAAATACCATATTATTTCACACACAGTTAGGCAAAAACTACTCTTATTTTCAAAGCAATATACTGTCCTTATTTAAGGATCTAGTAAGAAGAACATATTTCATTAAGGAAAAAATATCCATTTTCAATAATGTAGTTGTAAGAAGATGGCAAATAATTTTGAACTTTTACCATTTTTGAAAATTCAGTGTTCAACAAAAATGAAATCTGCACCATTTATTTCAAGAGTTTCTTATTCATTCCAAAGAAAAAATTTAATCCCAAAATTTGGAGCTATTTTTGAGAAAAATTTGAAAATAATATTAAGGCTCCTGTAAAGTACCCCCCAAAATCAAAATACATTTCAAATTCACAGGGTCTTAAGGCTGGCCAGATCAATCAAGGAATACCCATTTTGGAGAAAATTTTCTGAACAAACATTGGCCACAGATGGACTGACTAACTTTTTGTCATAAAGCATTTCTTCTGTATCGAGTCCCATAAAACTTGAATTCTGACCATCCAGCACATTAGAGGAAGAAATTTACTATATATAGGAAGAAGATTTATCCATTTTGTCAATATCTGGATCCCCAATTTGAGTTTTGTCTAGAAAAATCAAATCATCAACCTTATTTGTCACAAAATTACAATACGCAAGTAGAATGTGAGAAAGTTAAAAGTAATTGCATAAATAAGAGAAAAAGAAGCTAAAAGAAAATGAATAGGAAGCATAGATGTTAATGACATCTATGATTTCAAATTGAAAATTATTTAATAATCCCAGGTTACATATTACAATCAGGGATTATAAATTTACCATTTTATGTGAATTTTATGGCACCTATAGTGGGAGGAACGTTACAATGTATTATGAAAATCAATATTAGAAACAGTGGTGGGATTCGGGAGGTGCAAGGGTAGGCCATTGCCCCCAGCAACTATGAGGGGGGGAAAAAAATAATGTTTACTCTCCTTTTTTAATTTTTTGCTACCGCTTATGCAGTATGCAGAAAGTTATGTAAAGCTGCACATAAAAATCATTTGACGGCAAAACGTCGGTTCGCCTGTCCATCCAGCAGTGAGTGCTAGCAGGTAAACCATTCATCTGATTTTCTTCACAATTGATATTCCCGATATGCACGAAAAATCATTTGACGGCAAAACATCGGTTCGTTTGTCCATCCAGCAGTGAGTGCTAGCAGGTAAACCATTCATCTGATTTTCTTCACAATTGATATTCCCCTATCGATCTGGCTGATGTTGTGGCCTTTTGAATTTGAAACTGAAATTTTAATTTCGACAGGAATTCCATGAAGCCTCTGGGACATTTTCAAAACAATGGCTCTGACGTTAATGATTCAACTTTGTTATTGGATAATGTGAAGGACAATTAAGTGGAATTGTGCAGGTCTCATTTTTGTTAAAAACTCTCATTTTTTGATAATAGTAAAACTTCCAATTTTTTCAGTGTCTTCCTGCACTAAAATTATGAAGATAGAGATTTTTTCCCTTATAGAAATCTGTGCCATAAAGATAGATTTTGAAATAATGTCATGTAAAATTTTTTGTGTACTTTTCGCGTAATTGTGCGTGAAAGACTGGGAAGAGAGTACGTGCTGTTTTAGCATCACTAGTTAAATTAATTGAAATGTATTCTTCATTATTCTATTATAGAATTATAAATATCTTAATGTAAAACTTAAAATTTATTTTAATTATCTTACTATTGATTTCCTTTTTCTAATATGATTTTAAAATAGGTGCAATTGAGCTTGCCCCCCCTCCTTCCGCACTATCCAATCTAAAATCCTACCATCTGGAAACATTAATGAATTTTAAAATTCATGACATATTACTACGAAAAATATATAAGTTCTGGCAGAATATACATTAATATTTCCAAGACATCTGGGCTTACCAAGACATATTGCAACTTTTGGCATGAGTGAGCTTCAGTTATTCGTTTTTGAAACGGCAAAGTGGAAGTACATTTATACAAGCAATTTGAAAAGAACATGTTAGAAAAATATTTCATCATAATAAGTAAAGTATTTTTTATGAGGGTTTGCACCTTATGTTATATTATTCATTCAGCTAAAAAATACTTCCTTAAAGTTGAAGTACCTTCAGTGTCTGTACACAGGATTCAAGAAAAAGTTTTTTTTCTGATATATGTTCCACTACTTCAGATGCTACTACTACATCATATGCTTTTGGTTTTTCTTCACTGTATTTCTCAATTGTATTGCATACATAATTAATTTCATTCCTTATATGAGGATCTTGAGAAGCATGATGCTTTGCTGTGGTGATAAGCGCTTCACTGGCATCTAATCCAGTAACCTCAGCTCCAAGTCGAGCAAGAGCCTGTAAATAGTACACAGAAAGTTAAACAAGGATGTCTGATAAGGTTAATTTTTTCAAAGTACTCAAAACACCCTCTGAAACAAATCTTAATTAAAACAGTTTTCTTTTATTTTTTATATGACTGCTGAGAACGTTTCTTTAACACATTTCAAATGGATGCTTTTGCAAATGTTTTTGTTCTCATTTTATTTTATTATAGTTTATTTTGTTATAAATAAAAGAAAAAACAAACTGAATATTGGCATTTTTAATACTCTGTGATTTAAAATTAGAAGAACAAGAATGCATATAAAGGAGACCAGAGATGAAAAAAAATTTCTTATCTGTAAATGAACCTCATGAACAAATGGAATACCTAGGAATTTGTGACTTGGCTCCAATGAGTAGACTGTTCAGCCGAACAGTAAAAGTAATATTGGGGAAACCATTACAAGATATTAAACCAGTTTGTCTTTAAATACCAGAGAGCCATGAATGGGCCATTTATTATTTTTAAAACAATTGACAGGTGAGGAATTGGCTTGCAAAAAAGAAGTGCATAGTGAAGTATTTGTTAATTTATGACAAACATACGACTGTGTACTAATCATATAATGCTTTAAGAAATAATGATATAACCTCAGAGATAATAAAGATGATACAAATACAGTACAAAATTAATAAGAATTGTGACTTCATGTCAAGAAAACAGCCTAGGAGAGTTTCAAACAAATCAAAGAAAAATGGAATTCCAAATATTTATACTGTTATATAAAATGAGCAATTTGCCATATATCTTACATATATCTATTTATTACCTCTGATAAAATACCTCCACCACAGCCCACGTCCAGGAGCTTAATATTTGTCAATGGCTTTGGTTGTTTCAGCTCCTCCTCTTTTATTCTTCCAGAGTTTACCAATCCACCAGAAATCATCTTGACTCTGCATCAATGGAATTAATATAAAAATCATTAAATAAAACATTACAAATATAACATTTGACCAATTCACTTTTTAGGGTCATAAATTTTATTTCATTAAATCAGTTTTTAATAAAAAATAGATATCATATCACCAAATTCTGATTGCATGACTAAAAGTGAATGCCGAATCGTGTGAATGTCAACTTTCTTTATGACGTACACTTCTTTTCCTTTCTTTCATTCTTTTATTTTCTTTCTCTTTCCCCCCTTCCTCTCTCTTCTCTTCTTGTCTGGCATTTCAGCCTTCCTTCAAAATCAGTGTTTTTAGTTTAATGTTGCTGAAAACTGACCATGATATTTTATCAAAAACACCATTTTTTTCACTCTACTTTAACATCATCTGGCAGAAGGCAGTAAAATGATGTACGTGTATTGGATGTGGATTGCTTATAGTGATCTGTTGATACTTACATCTGATGATTTTGATTCCTATGTTGTTGTAATTATAAATATCTGTTTTCCCAGACAATGTGCTCCTACACTGTGTAGGGTTAGTAAGTCAGTTTTGACAAGAACTACAAATTTACAAACAAACAAGCTTGAAGGACATTAAAGTCCTTGGCCTTCCGCATTGAAAAGTAGAACATAAGCCCTTTTAAAGCATGTCTAGGTGCTGTTACTATGTTCTCAGGTAGAATATTCCAGATATCGAGAACACGGTTGCTCAAAAAAATGTTGTATTGTATTGAACTGTACCTAATTTTCATGAGTTCCGCATTATACCCTCATAGTTGCAAATTTTTGGAGTGATGAAAAATGTTGTCAAGGTCAGAGTTGCAGTAACAGTAGTAGTACCCATGTTAGATCTCGAAGGTTTCAATCATGTCATCCCATTGTCTTCTAGCAGTCTGAAATCAAGTATCATCAGTTATTTGTCATAAGCCATGTTTCTGTGTTCTTGGGTCTATGTTTGGGTCCCCTTTGTGCATTTTCAACAGTTTTATATCTTTAATAAATTGAGGATTTAAGTTTTCAACACAGAAAAATTTAACTATCAGAAGAATGTAGGTCTTTTATAGAAAGGTAAATACATTGCTTCTTAATGTGTTGAAGGCTTTATGCGACATGAAAGTAGCCTTATTAACCTTTTATGCAGTGACTTTCACACTTGATATCATGATCCCTAGGTCCTTCATAACCCCAGCTCGACTTCCGCTACATCCTTCTGCCTTTTAATATTTTTTGGATTGAACTTTGTAATTTTCATTGGGGTGGATCTTCTGATATGCATGACCGTGCATTGCGATTCATTCAAACGTAGCATCCAGGCTCTTGACCATTCATAAATTCCAAATTCCTCTTCAAGGTGGAGAGGATTAGATTAGAATCTGGTGTTCTCTGCATGCATCTAGAAGTGGGAGTGCATACCGTTTGGCAAGGCGCTAGTGTAAAAGATAAATAAGATCAATCTCAAAACCAAGTCCTGATGAACTCCGCTGCAAATGCTCCTTTGTAATAACTTGTATTCTCAATTTCTCACATAAAATGGCAATCCTTCAGGAAGGTCAGTATCCAACTCAGAAGCTTCCGCCTTATACCAGCATAAGCAAGTTTGTAAAGCAGCCTGTTAGTTAGTTAGTTTTGTCAGGATAGATCTCCCTGTACCTCACAATGTCATGTTGGTGTGAGGTAGTTGTGAGTTGGTGTGAGGCAGCTCCTAGGGGTAGGAAAGGTAGGCATGGCCTAGTCTGATTAACATGTACTAGTTTAATACTTTTTGTAATAATAAAAATTAAATGAGTCTTACAATTTTAATATGGTGTAAATATTATACATCCCGAAATGTAAAATGAACATTTCATTATTGTGGCACAAGCCACATTTCCATTTCAAGTGTTTTCTAATAGCCCATGCTCCATGCGATCTGTCTCATCTCTTTCTGCCTCGCCTCGGTGGTGTTGTATTCTGCATGCCTGTCTCAAAGAGTCGAAACGATTCATTGGGGTTGTTTCTTCTGGGTCTTCTTTACATATTGATAGGACGACTCTCCCCCGTATAGGGACAGAGATCGGGAAGTTGGGTGATTGGAAGAAAGGTTATGTTACTAATGGAGAATGGATGGTTTTGTTGAAGGTAGGTGGACAAATGGGAAAGGATATAAAAGGGAAGGAAACGTGGGTTTTGGGAAAGGAAAGAGATTGTTTTTCTCTGTTCATATATGTTGTAGGGCCAATCATTGTCAATTGTTAATCATTACTTGTATTTGCCTGATCTGCCCTTTCGCCTAGTTGTGGGGGACTGAGTTCCAGGATGTAAGGGGGTGTTTTTTCCATGTGGGTCAGGCGAGTGGGGTTGTAGGATGTGGTGTGAAAGGACAAGGTTTCGGAATTTGGGTTATTTATGTATTGTCAGATATGAGTTATCAAGGAATTGTAGAGGTAAGTGAGGATGTGGGATATTTTATGTGTTTTTCGGATCTCATTGAAGCTGGTGTAGAGTGGGGTGGGCAATGAGTAATTTTCAGCTACGGTTAGTTTGATACGGTTTCTAAACGATATGGCGAACAGGTGGGATGGGCAGAGGGGAGGATGGGGCGGATGTAAGTAAAATATGTTTGGAATTTTTTTTGGGGATGGGAATTGATGGATTTGCAAGAATAGGGCAGAGGGCGCTGGTGATGTGGTTGGTTTCTGTAATATTATTGAGAATATGGTGGGTTCACAGGAGTCTTTGGGGGAAAGGGTGATGCGAAGTTATTTTACTGCGGGAGCGGTGTGTGGTTTATTGTTGGGGAGTAGTGATGGGAAGGTTTTGTACGAGAATAGGATGGCCTGGGATTTGGTAGGGTTGATCGTAATGGAGTTTTGAGAGGCCCAGGGGTGCAAGGAGTCAAGGGATTTTTGAAGGTTGGTAAGGGATCGGTTCAGAATGCGATAGGGGGCAAGAAAAGCAAGGTATTCGACGTAAAGGAATCTCTCTACTAAATGGGTGGAACGGACATCATTAATATAGAAGGAAAAGAAAGGACTGGGAAAAGCACGGACTTCGGGACGCACGCTTGGATGGGATAATTCGGAGATTTTTTGCCTGACATTTGACGAAAAATGACCGATTGCAGAGGTAGCATTGGAGTAGAGAGATGTGATGAGGGATGTAGGGGCGAATTTTCATTAAAAGAATTGGGTGGGACACGGTATCATAGGCTTGGGTTAAATCTGTGAGTATAGTGGGGATTTCTTTGCAATCTTGGAAGGGAGTGGCTGATTGAGTTAGGTTGAGGGTCGGAGGGACGCAGGGCGTCCCTCGCGGAATCCAAATTGGGATTGATGCACGATGGGGTTAATGATGGATGGTAAACGGAGGATGAGGGACAGAAGGTCAATGGCATTCTACGGGTTCTGATTCGTTTGTCGTCCACGCTTGGTGACTGGCGGGGGGGGGGGAATTGAGGTTTTCAGTTAGGTGAGGATTACATTCTCGGGGATTGGAATATCTCGGGAGCGCAAGCGGTCGGCAAGGGTTTGGGCGAAGGTGTTTGAGATGTTTTGGGGATCGAAGGATAAGGAGTTTGGGTTGCTGTAAAGAGGAGAAATCCGGGTTGGGGGTGTTTGTACTGCCTTGATTACATTATGTAGGTTAATTAGGCTGCTCTTGTTTTTTAGTAGGACATTGTATGTTTGTCGAGTATGTTCGTAATAGTGTCTGTAACCGTCTTTGTGTCTGCCTCAGAAGTTTGTCCTCGTCCCGTCTGTAGAATTTCCGCTGAAACTGTCTCTTTAGTCTAATTGTCATTATTATTTCATTGAGGAGGGTTGGGTGTAGGTGCTCGGTATAAATGGTGATTCTTTTGTAGGTGTGTAGGATTTGAAGGTTAAGATACTTTATGGATTTGGCTATGGAAGAAATTGTTAAGATAATGGGTGAGACGTATCTTTTTGGATAGGTGTTTGAAATATTTCTAATTGATTTACGGACTGTTTGGAGGTTTTGACGAAATGTTGTGGGTGAATGTTATTGGGAAGGGGTCGGAAATGTCATAAAGGTCCTATTTAGAACAGGTATAGTGATGTGGATTTGTAAGAAGTGGAGGACTATGTCAAGGATATCATGTGGGCTTTCTAAAGGACTTTGGATCTGTCGGACTTTGTCTTAGTCTGATCATGTTGCTTTTCAAGCAGCCCCGTGAAGTGGAATTTGAGTTTAGATCGCCTGCGAGGATGAAGGGGAGGGCATGTTAAGGAGTGTATCTAAACCGGAGGTAGAGATAGGGATACGAGATTTTTGTATGAGGAAATGATGACGGGATTCCAATTAAAATGTCAGTCCCATTCTAGGGGTGGAACCTGGGGGAGTTGGTGGGGTGTGTGTGGTACAGTTCGTCGGATGGCGATAGCCGTACCGACTTCGAGGACGAAGGTTCTGTCGTTTTGGTGGTATATGTAATTGTGTATGGTAAAGGAATTGTAAGGAGTCGGCATAGTTTCTTGATGTAGTAGGATGCCGAGACGATGGAGTAATTTTTAAGGGGTGATAATGCTTTTTCCGGGCCATGGCACCACGTGCGTTTCATGAGTAAAGGGTTAAGATCTGCATAGGGGAGCCATTAAAGAATTCAACAAGTTTCAGCCCGGCAGTGAGTTTGGTGAGGTCCGGCAATCAGTTTAGTGAGGGAGGTCTTCTGGATCTTTAAGAATGCCGATGAAAGTACGTAGGTGGGGAGAATTTTCTTGAATGTGGGGGGTTCGAGGACGGTAAAGATGTTTTTTAGGTCTTGGCTTGTTTGTGGTTAAAGGGTGGGTTGCGTGGGGGATATTGCTGAAGCATAGGATACGTTGTGAGGTCCGAGTGGAGGAAAGTATTGAGATGGCACTGGGGAAACTCTTTGGGAGCGGATGTTTTTGGAGTTGCTCTTGTCTAATGAATTTTGCTTGAGTGAAATATGTGCACGAGGGGTCGTAGGTGGTTGTGGGAGCATTTGCAACATTTGGAGGTAACATTTGTTTGGTTTGGTGTTAGGGA